TTTATATCCATATATATATATATATATATATATATATATATATATATATATACATGATCCCACCTCTTTGAACTTATCAATAGATACACAGACAAGATAAAAGGGTCCAGATACAGTTTGTTGCTTCCCCAGGCAAGTTGCTATCACATATACGAACAATTACTATTGAAAATGCCAATTCCACCTTACGATCTATCATATCTAAGAAACTAACAAAAGAATTGACACAGAAAAAGCAGTTTACTTTGAATTTGGCTCTTTTTTCTCCCTATTATATCCCTTTCACTTATCACTAGCTTCTATAAATTGTGTAAATGTAGTACTTACATATCCACACTGAGCACAATGGATAAAAATGTCGGGAGTACTAATTGTAAAAAGTGGGCCTGAAAATGAGATAGATAAGGCTAGCTCACTTAACTTTTGCCGGCGCATTATGGTCTTTTTTTTTTTTGTGGTCTTTTTTTCATTTTAACTCATTGGTCGTATTGGGAAACTGAAATTGAAACACACAGCGTGCAAGCCAAAATGTTTCCTGAATGAATAGTATTGTTCATCTTCCCGAGTGTATAAAAATGGGCCTGTTTGGCAAAGCTTGTTTGAAGCTGCGCTGTTGGCTTTCCAGAGACCAACAAATGCTACTAAGCATTTGGATGTTTTATCACAAGTGTTTTAGCTCTTTAGAAGAGCTTTTAAGTTAAAGCTACAAAATGTGAATTCTCAAAAAAGCTTTTTTAATAGATTTTGAGACTTATATCATGGTATAAATAAGACATTAGTAACTCCATTATGACATTTTTTATTCCTAATTAGAAAATTTAAAGACCATGTTGACTTATTTAAGCTAGTTTTAAAACTCGGTTTTAAATACTAGTTGGAAAGTCAAAGCTTTTACTTCTCCTTTCGACTGATCTCTTTTCAACTGATCAAAAGCAAAAATAAAAGCTCTGTCAAACGGCTATATGTCTCAAAAATTCTCTTTCTACTTTGTCACTAGAATGTAAAGTATGAACAGTTAGAGATGAGTGCTATTAGCAATTATCATATCAATACTTGCAAGCATTAATGCATGCAACACTAAATTGACGGGATTTTTACAATTTAACATAGACAGATAGTGGAAAAGATATGACTCAATTGTCGTCTGGGTCTAGTAAATAATTCCCTAGTTCAATTCTTGAAGTATACAAAATAGCCAAGATCTAATAAACACGCATCTTGCTTATTTTCAAAAAAAAAAAAAAAAAAGCATATATAAGCGCAACAAGCAATGATGAGAATTCAATTTCCATGTTATTATAAGATACTTTAAGCAGATCACATGACACCATTTTGTAAGAAAATGGAGAAATATATACTACAGGTAGAAGTAAACATATATATGATATGTTAGACGTGCACGACATTGAACACACACACACACACACACACACACACATATATATATATAGAAAATTCAAAATACTAAAAGCAGGCAAACAAATCCATGCCCAATTATGCAGACCTAGCCACTAGCATCATCATATATATGGTCATGATATATATATATATATATATATATATCATGAAAACCATATAAATATAAAGATATATATATATATATATATATATATCACCCGATGGACTGGATGGATGAATTAAAGTTGCTCCTCAAAGGCCAGTTCTTCAACCATGTACTTGCCGTGGATGTTAAGAGGACTGAAAGCCTCAATCTCATGAAAGCACTTACTAGGAAGCACAATTTGTCCACTAACAGTACCGGTACCATTAATAATCCCCTGCTTCTTCTCAACCGTCAACGATTGCATCGGCAGCACGATCGGATCATGATCATCATCGTACAAATACTTACGCGCTATAACGACAGAGTTGATCACTTCATCAGTGGGGTGATAAACGGAGAGAACGTCAAAGCCTTTTAGATCCGTACAAGGGTCAACGACAGGGTAGAGAAAAGCCCTAGCCCCATGTGCGCTTCTCAGCATCAAGAGATTCCCAGGAGCCATGTGCTTGGCCACGTGGCGAATGACTCGGACCTTCTCCTCCTTGTCCATCCCAACGAGAGCGGCGAGGAAAACGACGTCGTATTCCTCGAGCTCAGTCGTTACGTCCATGATGTCAGTAGTGTGGAAGAACATTCTGTTGGAGAGGTCAGGGTCGGAGGAGACCAAGGCCTCGGCCTTGGAGTTGGCGAGGGGGTCAATGTCGTAGTTGTGAAACGACGCCGTTTTGAGGTGGTTCGAGGCGAGGACAATCGAGGTGAGAGGAAGGGGACCGGAACCAATAAAGGCAATTTTTAGTGCCGTTTTTGAGTCGTCAATATTGGTTTTGGTCAAGTGTTGGCTAAGGATGTTGTATTCTAGTTGGCTAAGTTTGAGGTAATTGGAGTAATAAGGGAAAATGTTGAGGTTTTGAAGTGGGTTTTGGTAAGAGGCTAAAAGGGTGGAAAAGTGGGACTCCAAATGGCCCTCAGCCTCACCGCAAAGCCTAATGAGATTGGAGCGGATGTTTTGGATTGGCTTGCAAAGCTTGTTGACGTCAATTGGGTTGGGGGGTATGCACGTGAGGACGAGCTGTGTGAAGAGAGTGTCGACATCTTTGGAGGGCTTGAGGCTGGAGAGCCTCGAGATTTGGTCGTATAGCTGGCAAACTTTGGTTATCAACGGCTCTTGGTCCTGGCAAAACATGTCGACACTATGAGGATATTGAAGGAGAGAGAGAGAGAGAGTCAAGATTTCAAACCTATAGTAATAATCTATAGAGAGAGAGAGAGGGGGGGAGTTTGTGTGTGATGAGTGCCCTTTGGAGAGGTCATTATTTAAGGGCACTTGTGGGACCCTATCCTCGGCCAAGTGTTCGTTCATTGCAATATAGAGTGGGGCCTATGGCCACCATTGACGATAGTAGGCGAATAGTGATCATGAGCATATTGTTGTTCTTATTTTCTCTTTTTGATTTTTTGTTTTGGCGGCCGTTTTTATATTAATTATTTATCATATTATTTAATTTAAGAATCTAACTAAATAAGTAAGAATATAATACTAAAAATATTTATGCAATTTATAAGTATTATATTTAGAGTGATAATTACTGAGATAGAAAAATAAAAAAAAGCATATCTTAATTCAATAATTACATATCACAATCATAATTTTTTAAATTTTTTGGGGCGCAACGTATATAGTAATTCAATCCTCCTGACCAATTGTTGTAATATCTTTTTTGATAATAAATTGCTATAATATCAGCAAAGAAAAGTTGTTATAATATCAACAAGTGTATGAATTAATTGGTATTCCAAATTGTCAAACTGGTAAATTAAAACATTTCATTTGCTACTAGCTAGTTTATAGTTTGCACTTTGCATATAAACTTGTGGAATTTGGGAGTTGAATTCCCAAAACATTTTTTTTTCCTTTCGGAGCTTTCTATTGCAGAGTATCGTTACTAATAGTGCAATCTTTTTAATATTATATCTCATCAAATTAAAAAAATATATAAACTGTTTGAATACATACAATATCTAATGCTTTAAAATAAAGTCTTACAGATAAAATATCTCTTCATACCAGCCGTACTGATATATAATATATATGAATTTTTAATAGTTACGTTTTACGCACACTTTAATAGTTTAGTAGGATTTATTTTCATACGGAAGATGTCAACACTTTGTGTCATATTGTCATTCTTAATTTTAATAGGTTAAGAATTACCTAATACGTGCATTTGTTCCGTTTACCAGTGCAAGTCTCACAGTAGGATCCAGATAATAAAAGAATGATGATCCATTGTGATTGTCCCAGGCAATGTTTTCCGTAAAACAGTCCTATATATATACACACACATAAATATATATGCAGAAACCACAGAAGCAATTATATACATACTACATCTATATATACATAAGGCAGTTTGGTCCTGAACTCAATTGGCCATAATGAAATATGATTGTCTTTGGGAGTTGGGATATGCCAATCATCCCAAATTACGAGGCATATAGCTCGTTCTAGAATTACACGACTGACTATACCATTATCCCTATCTATCACACATTACCTTCTTGTTAGTTATGATCATAAAGGTGAAACTTAAAAAGCAGTTATTAGTTGCAGAAACAGCACTAGGGTGATGCAAGGATGTCGAAAAATGATGCCATTTCCTCCTCATATCTAAAGTACCATGAATATCTGACATACTTAACAGTACATGTCCTTTTTTTTAATATTGTTATATTGTGTGCCACTTGGGGATGTAAGGCACTATGATGACCTGAATAAGTTCATGAGTGATTAATTTGGCGTGCATGTCTATTTGTTATTAAAAAGTCGTATATATTGGAACTCCATTTGTCAATAATTAACTACATTTTCAAATAGAATGGTGTTTGTGTCAATTTGGTCCGTAATTATTTAAAAACATGTTATTCTATGTTGGGTTCAGCTTACTAAAACTTTGTGTTTATGCTCACGAGTCATGACCGTTCAAGACGTTAAAAAATTTTGGGTCCAGACCTGCCCATGAGCATAGACATGTCGCACGCATGTTGTGTCGCACCTGCGCTTGTCATAGCAGGACCCATCATACCCTTAAGTCCTTTTTTTTTTATATATAACTTCTTCTTTTTTTTTCAAATGCTAAGTTTTGAGTTTGTTATGAAATCAACGATGTTTAGCAATATTATTTTTTTAGAATTACTTATCTTTTCTTTTATACATTGCAAATTTTATAAAACGTCAACATGCAAATACATTATGACTATTTTCTGAATCTAAAAATCATGCATACTCATTGTGTTGGCCTCATGTTAGCTCAAAATTGTGTCATGCTAGCCCAAAAAATGAACATGGCTTGACCTACACCTTGTGTCATGCTCGGAATTGTCCAAGATAAACTCATGTCATATCTCAAAATTCTCCGTGTCGTGCTTTAGTGATCATTCAGCAGCCCGAGTCTCCGGCTCAATTCACATCTCTATATTTGATTAAAAGCATCAGTGAGACAAAAGGACGGTAAATTAAATTATCTTATTGTATTGATTAGAAAGAAAAATAGAGAAAGCTTGGTCAGAGTAATATAAACACGTTAGACAGGGACCGATGGAGAAAATTATATATGTTTGTACGAAGATGAATTTGGATTTTGAATGTTGTGTATTAAAACATTAAGAAAGGACAGGAACAGAAGCCTTAACAACCTATTTAAGAAAACAATGCCGCATTTTAAATCGGTAGGAGATTCTTAGTACTTAATGCTTTGATACACACATTAAATTCTGATTTTCACCTCAAAGCATATAATCGGTACACATGACCAATTACTTGTAGACACATACAAACTTGCCCATAAATAATTGAGCGAGAGAGAAAAAAAAAAAAGAATATCTACACACACACACACACACACTATATATATATATATATATAT